ATTGGCGTCGATCACTCGAAGTCCCTCGTTGATCCTGGAAGACGGTGGCAGCGGCGATCCTGATCGGCGATGGCAATGATCCAGCGGTGGCAGGAACTTGAAAAGAAGATTAATTAGTCTAATTAATAGTTAGAGATATCGACGATACTTACCTTCTCGGTGGTTCAAGGTCAAACCGAGTGGCGACCGTTGATTCAGAGGACACACAGCGTTGATTCGTGCCTCCCGTAGTACCGTCCGGTTACACCCTTTCCTCATCTCAGCACCCACCCTACCGCTTCCTGCCAACTTCCACTTCCTGATTTCCATTTTCTACATTCTTCCCATACATGCTCCCACGTTTCCTTCCTATATTCTCTCTCTGGGCGTCTGTGAGTACTGATTGACGTGTATTAGCTCGCTCTGTATTTTGTGGCTTGTTTCTTGTGTTTGCCGCCCTACGGGGCCTCTTTTTCTAGTACCTGGCCTTTCAAAGCTATCTCTGCTCGCTTTTTTACTTCTGGATGGGTCCTGGATTTTTGCTACATTGAGGTACTTGCAATTTTCTTATCGGTTTGAGCTGTGGAAGTTGCTAGAACTCATCGTGGCTTCGGCAACACGGAGATGTCGGAGAGAGGCGCTAATGCGCCTGGTAGGAAGGAAGGCGGTGTGTCGGAGAGAGGCGCAGGTGCGTCTGGTGTGAAGTAAGGCGGTGTGTCATCGGGCGAAAGCGTAAACAAAGAGGAAGGCGTGTTTCTGCGTCTAGGCTGCCGGTGCTTGACAGATCGTGCGCTTTAAATGCGTCTAAGATTAGTGCGTTGCGACAGTCTATTAATAGACATAACGATAATGTCAGTAAAATATTGTTAGCCAACAAAGAGTCATTGGACAAGAGGACACAGATTGAATCTGCGTTTAGGGCGTGTAAAGAGGCTTTCCTCAAAATTTCAACCGCGTATTTAACTTTGCTTGAGAGTAGAATGTCGGTTCCCGCGGTGACGGACGAAATAAAAAGCCTTATTTGCGGTGCTGTTACTGAGGCCTGTGACTCTCTGCTGGCACGTACCTCTGTATGTGAAAGCGGCGTTGAATCTCGTGAGTCTTTGTCTCAGGAGACCCGTGCAGTTCCTAGTTATGCTTCTGCGCTAAGCATGGGGCAATCCAAAGTACGCGTGGCTCGCGGTCCTACGTTGGAGGTTGCGAACACCACAAATTTAATTATAACGCCAGAGGAGAAGAATGTTAGGCTTACATCTGCTCGCGATACGAAAAACGCTGTCCAGAAAATTCTGAAACCGTCGGATTTTAATCTTAGGATGAAAAGAATATCAACAGTGAGAAACAATGGTGTCAGGATTGAGGCGCACACAGTGGGCCTAGATAGGATGAAAAACTCAAGGGTCCTAGAAAAAGCCGGACTAAAACTGGAGCAAAAAAAGCAAGATCAACCCAAGGCTACTGGTGCAGGGTGTTCCCCGTAGCCTATCGAGAGACGATCTAAAATCGGAGATTATTGCATTAAACTTGAAGGACATGCTACAAGCAGATACATCGCAGGTCAAGATAGTCTACATTTATCCGGCAAAAGAGAATCGTGCTATCACGAGTTGCGTGGTCGAAGTATCGCCAAATATCCGTACAGTGCTGCTCAAGGAGAAGCATGTCTTCGTGAGCTACCATGCATGTAGAGTGTCGGATCATGTGAGAGTGCTGCAATGCTTCAAATGTCTTGCTTTTGGGCACTTTGCGAAAGGCTGTAGATTTGTATCACTCTGTGGTCACTGTGCTGGAGCGCATGAAACGAAGGATTGCACGAGGAGGAACGCAGCGCCGGTGTGTGGCAACTGCAAAAAGTGGATGACTTATGAAGATCCATCATATTCGGCTTTAGACAGCAAATGCTGTCCTATTTTACGCAGGCGGTTAGCAGACAGAATTAATTGTATTAATTATGGCTAACTTTATGGATTGTTTATGTATTTGTCACGTAAATTGTCAGTCGCTATTAGCCCACCTTGATAAATTTAGATCTTTTTTTGAAAGTTCGGGTTACCATATCATCTGTATATCTGAGACCTGGTTAAGACCATCCATTCCGGACCATATGGTATCTCTATGTGGATACCACATCGTGAGGCAGGATCGTATAGGCAAGGCGGGTGGCGGCGTTGCCTTCTATTTATGTGACCAATTAAGAGCTAGGACGCTGAGGCACTCGGAGGATGTATACTGTCGTAGACCGGAATACTTGGTGGCTGAGATATCGACGGACTGGAGTTCCAAGTTCCTTCTAGTGATCGTGTATTGGCCTCCACACTGCGGCTACCTATCGGAGGTTTTCAACATCATTGCTGATTTATCTGCTCTTTATAATTACGCGATCGTTCTTGGAGACTTTAATGCTGACCTAAATTCTCGGTCTTACGATTCCGAATCTATCAGGTCTTTTGTTGACACTATGCATTTTTCCTTGGTGCCATATGAGCCCACTTACCACACGCGCGTGTCTTCTACGTGGCTGGACTTATGTATTATAGATGATGTGGATAAACTAATCTCTTACGGTCAACAGGATGTTAACTTCCTTTCGGCTCATGACATGGTGTATATTGAGTATGATCTTAGAATTAGTCGTTTCCAGGAGCGGAGCGTTGAAGTTAGGGACTTCCGTTCTTTTGATTCTGAGCGTTTCCTCGAGGAGCTTGGTACCTGTGATTGGAGTGCCTTATTTGATGTGAATGATGTCAACGAGAAGGTCGGGATTCTGAATGAGTATTTGCTTGAAAGTTTCAACAGGCATGCGCCTATACAGAGGATTAGTCCGAAGCACCTACCGGTGCAGCCGGAGGCTAGAACGAGCCCAGCCGCCGCCATTGACAACGCCAGTGGCGCTTCTAAACAAAGTGGCGAGGATGGAAGACGGGGTGCCCACAGTGGTGCTGAGACGGCACAAGATTCGGTTGGAGGTGCAGCATACCGCGATGTGTATGAGATTCACGGAGCTGCCTGAGGACCCGATCCGAGATGGCGCCAGCGACGAGGAGGTTATCACGGGCAACATCGTACGGAAGGGGCTCCACGTTTAACGGGAAACACAACGCCGCGAAGATAGTCAGCGCCATGTTGCGCAATCCATAGGATTAAGTTTATAGTCAGCGCCATATTGCGCACATAGTATTATCTGGTTAAGCGCCATATTGCGCAATAATAGTTATTTTTTGTATCAAAGTTTACGCGCCATATTGCGCAAGAGTTTAAGTTTTGGAGATTTACGCGCCATATTGCGCATAGGATAAGCGAGATGCACTTATTTTGTGAAGAATAAAGAAATATTTTCAAACACTACCTCTTTCGATTCCCTACTGAGCGAACGATAGAATAAGACGTAAATACGCGACTTAGAGGTTATAACAGTACTCTATGGACTCGGAGGATGGGATTCCCAAAAGTGAAAATTCACTTTTAACAGGAGCTCCAGCGCGAGCCAGGGAAGATGATTCCGCGATCGGTTCCGCGATAGCGCGCGTAGATCAAAAGTTATGCGCAAAATTCGAAATGACTTAACGCCAATTGACTCCGGGACACCCGGTATGCATGATAAAGGCATCCCCGTTTCGATAGCTTGCGTGCCCCGAGAACTAGCTAACCGAGAGTCTTCTC